AAATTATTAAGTATTCTATTTACAAAACGATGAATTGCTTCAAATGTTGATTTAGGTTTAGTTACAAACGAATTCAATAGTTTAAGACGTGGTTGTTGCGTCTCTCAGTATAGTCACTATACGTTTATATTTCATATTATTTTATTGACTATTCTTAAGGCTGGGAAAGTAATAACTTAAAAAAAACTCCCCAAAAATGTTTGAATTCCTTAAAAATTAAAAATAATGCACCTCACTTTTTTTTTTAAATTTCAACAAGTTTTGAACCAAAAATATATATAAATATGCTCAAATAAAGAATGTGGTAAAAAAATAACATAGCAATCACCTGAAATTCTGTTCTATGCTCACCTGTAGTTAGGATGTATACTATGAGCCAGCTGACAAGTGTAAAAATAAGCCAACCATGTATTCAGCAGGTTATAATATAACATAAATATCTCATCGGATAAACATAGTGATACTATACGGTATCTACTAATTTATAATATATAATATCAACTTTAAACTATCTATATGTTCAGTTATGTCTTATGAAACTAATTATTGGGTAAAGTGATCAAAGCTTTAGAAATGAGTTATGACCACTCAAATAATAATATTCTGTTGAGACTTATATAGGTACTAATATTCTTTTTAATATTTTTATAGAGAAAACTTACGATAAGTATTGTTGAGGTCGATATTCGTAACGTGTACAAAGCTTAGGTTATATTTTTTGATGAAGTACTGATTGAATATTTGTCAAGTTCGTAATCTTATAGGTTTGGTTTAAAAATCATTATATTTTATTAGTTATTAGTCAAAATATACATAAATACGTTGGCATTTTATTACAACTGTACCTATAAGGTAATTTTAGTTATAAAGTTTAAACAAATATTAATATTTTAAATGATACATAATATTGTTATAATTTCAACAAAAACTACTTTCTTCAAGTCAAAATATTTTTAAGTTAACAGTTTGTTCATCGATATTGTTTTTATAAAACTATAATTATTAATAAGTACGTATGCATTATAACTCATAGAAGCTTCAATTGTGACAACGTCAACATTGAGAATGATACATAAATAATAAATATATTAGACACATCATGTACATAATATACATTCAAATATACACTAGCATTATGTGAGGATTAATTTACTAATCGGATGTATTTCAATTATTAAATACCTGGTGTGTGCAAATCAACATAACGTAGCTTATAACATACTATATACATTTAGGTTCAACGGCATAGGCTATACACGGAATTATGAAGTTGTTATAATAATATATTCCTATGTAATCCCTGTTTGTTTTAAACAAGGGTGCAGGTATACCATAATTTATCGTATTCAAATTAAAACGTTTCATTCAACATATTATTATAACATTTATTGACAAAAAATAATCTTTACCCATAATATGCACATAATTATTATTTTTATATAATATGTATAATATTATGTATTAAATCAAACTAAACATTTAATTTATTTCAATAATAAAAATGACTTAATACAATATAATAATTAATAACAATTTTTACAATTATTAGGTTTAGATGTTTTCTTGTCAACTTTTATGTTATTACTAATAAGTAGTAATAACTAACTTTATAATTATATTATACCTACTACTATAACAGATAAAATATCTAAATATTTTATTTTGGAACCGAAAAAAACCAAAATAACCTCTACATCAAAATACAGGTTTCGGTTTCGGTTCCAAAAAAATGTATTTAAGGGTTTCGATCCCATGATTTTCAAAAGTTTTTTGTCCAAAACCGGTAAATGTTGGTTCCAGTCCTGTCCCTGTTACAAATATATTCAGTGTACGTGGCGGGCAAACAACATTTAAATTCAAATGATGTTTGCTAGGGACCACGGCATATTCCCCCGCCGTACTACTAACCATGCTGGTAGTACGGCCAGTTTCCGATAGTGTCACCATGGTAAGCAACTAGATACTTGTCCCGTAGCCTCTAACTTGTGGTGTCTCTCCTATTTTGGATAGGTTGGTGGACTCATGGTGCACCAGTTGTGGTTTGTTCAAGAAGCTCTGGCTCCAGCCTCAGGTAAGATTTCTATCACATCCGGTGTGGTGAAGGTGATTGTCAGATTGACCGGCTGGACGGTGACTCGACCTCAGATGTCCTTAGGATCGCCTTGCTCATTTCAGCAGCTCTGCAACCTGCAGCTGTATCGGGTTGTTGGGCAGCATTGATGGTGGTTGTTGTCTGGATATATAGATGGTTGTTGATGATAGATTGGTTACAGTTTTTTTCTTGAAATATTCGGGGTAAACATATTATCATGGGAACGCGTGTGTGTACTGTGTAGTATATGTGTATTGTGTATATATTTATCCAATTTGTTGTTCCCCTCTGGTGACCACTCGTTTAAGGCACCTTGAGGAAGACACCTTTTCCGACCTGCCTTTTAAATTTCAGCCTTACTGGTCCGCACTCCGCACAATTTCGGTACGAAGCCAGCATGGAATCATTTTAATACTATATCGGTCGTTTCGTACATATATTTTGTCTGGTCACCTATTGTAGGTTCTGTTCTGTTACTATTTACTTAGTCAGCCAATGCGTATGTTGTCTTTTATAGCACCCAGTCTCCGGGTTACAAGCCCTCTCTATCAAATACAAACACCACATGGGCGCAGCCAGTCTGGTCATTCACCCTGGTTGCAAATAAAATAGATATCCCAACTTCCAGGGGCTGCGTTAATAATGCTTGGACGACTTTTTTTAGTACTTATAGTTGCGGCGTTTGGCCGGGTTAAATTAAATAATACTTAATTAAAAATTTACTTTATAATTAAACCCGCAATATCATGAATGATAAAATATTATGTTTTTAAAAATAGAAAAATGATTAGTTGTACCTATACAAATTTGATTTTTATCATTTTTTAACTATACGAAATGTATGTGTTTCAACTATAACTATCAAACCAAGACCAATAATTTCAAGTCGTTTATAGTATTGGTCTTGGTGGTTACACCTGTAAGTTAGTCACGGTCTTGGTTTTCCTGCAATACTTTTGTAGATCTTCCTTGGTTCACAAAATACATAGAAAATAAATAAAATACCTACTATTATGTATCATAGAACTACAATTATGTATGATTTTTTTTAAGAACCTTCAGATATAACTCAACAAGTACTATATATTTATAGATCAAAAATAAACAATTCAAATAATTTAACTATTCATTTTCTTTTTATTTCCTAATTCTCTAACACTTATCATACTTTTGTTACGCATATTCTGATTATTCACAAACTTGATGTCTCATTATTTATTTTCTTCACTAATATTTCAAAGTTTAGCATAAACAATTTTTCAATAAGTTACTGTGATATACTGATGTAGGTACATTGTATCTATGAAGCACTATATTATACTAAACAGTGATAGTAGTATATTATAGGTACACACAAGAACAGTATCACAAGAACGGCGGACGAAATAAAAATGTAGAGTCAAAATGTATACCTACCATTATGGATGCCTGCTATTAGAATTAAATTGAAAATAGAATTTTGTTACGAGTATAAATAAATATTTTGGTTTATAAATTTATTCATATCGCAGTGACTTTAATAATCAAATCCGGGAAAATAAATAATTGTTTAAACGTTTTACGATTTACTCTTATTAATAAATAGTTAATTATAAGTTAAGCTAATAAGAATAATATTATTATCTTATAAGCTAAAAAAATAAATAAACTTCGACTTATTAATAACGCGTTAAGACTCACCCTTGGTATTGAGAATATGTTCTGAATATTAATACTTTCGAAACTACGGCGTAACCAGTAAGTTGAGTAGGTACCGATTGACATTCGAGAGTATCCTGATATTCGGATACTATAGTTACTTAATTATAATATATTCTTGCAGTAAAGTTCTTTAACACGACCACGTAACCCAACATATACCGATTGATATTCAAAACCACTTTAGTGTCTACTTTACTGTTTAGAAACTTAAGAATAATATTATGCTCGGAATATCAAAATTTAGACACTACCAGGCATAAACAATCGACCGAATCGACATTTTAACGTATCCCGCTATATTCGGGTGCTAGTTAACAATTCAAAAAGTGTTGAATTTTCAGAAAATACTGATTAATACAATTTTTTTCACCCAATAGCCTGCATATGCCACCGCTGGCTTAATCAATAAAAAAAAAAATTATTTTTTTATGACGTGTACTTTAATTGCAATTGATGCTAAACTATTAAAAACTAATGGTTTTAAAATTACTAAGTCTACAAGTATTATTCTACACTTATGTGATTAAAATTTAAACAACTTACCATAATCTTAATAGTGAGCATAAAATAATAGTGTTTACTATATAGTAACCTATATACAGGATGATTTACCAATTATACTGGCCTCCATTTAATCATTTAAAAGTAATTTATTTGGATTCATTTGGATTTTATTTGGAATAGTAAAGGACCGTATTTTTAAATACCTGTATTCGTATACCATTTATTGAGTGACCAATGTTATAAATTATTGAAGATTTTTTTGCGTGTTAAATAATAATATGTTTGCAATATAATAGGTATACGGGGCTAAAATGATTTTAAAATTGTACGATAAATTAATATTGTAGACTAATATGGATTTTTTGATATATTTATAGTATTTATAATTTGTAAACAATTGTTCGTATATAATTAGTACTTAGGTACCTAATAGACTAATAATCAATATCACATACATTTTATACTCCATGTATAACCAAGTATATTCATACCAATAATATCACGCTTACCTACCCCTATTTAAATAAACAATAGTTAACTATGGTGACAAACTATTATATTGATTTAGATATAATAATTACTAATTTATAAAATTAATTCCTAATTATTATTTTCAAATAAAAGTTAAATTTTTATTAATCATTCAATTATTATAAAAATATACACTTTAAATTTGTCAGAAGTATTTTGGCTTGCTCACACTTTAATCGTCTTTTAGCCTATCTAAATGGTTTGGCGTATTTAACTCATTACATACTGAATTTAGTACCCTGGGAATCTTACATACATCTTCTCCGGTTTTATTTTCCATTGTATGTTTTGCTTTCATTATATATCCAATTTGTTTTTGTGCTTCATTTAAATTTGTAGTCAATACTTCTATTTGATTTCTTAAACGTCCATCAATCTATGAAACATGTCAGCAAAAAAGAATTAATAAATGGTACTATCCCGAAAACTACGACATAACGATTTGATAATATTATTATGATAAGTTAGATTTACACAGTCAAAATACAACATGTATGTTCTGTCAGTTTGTACTCTCTTTCTGTTTTAGAAAAATAATTGATTTAGAAATAATCGTTTTTTTTTTTTTATTTGATACGTACTCCTTTCTCTAAAAAGCTACGACTAACAACATTTTTTGAGTATGACTGTATCCCCTAAGAGCCCTCTGTCACTCCCCGAAAAACAAAAATGTTTAATTAATGTTAATCACACGTATGATGTCAATCATGAACACCTATCTTCAATGAACAGATTGTCGCATTAAAAACATAGTTTATCGAGTGATAAATAAAAACCATACGTGTCGAAAATGAAAATGAAAATTATAAATCAAAATAAAATATTATCGAGCACAACAAAGGCTTTAACTAAAATATTTTATGACTCGAAAATGTTGAAGATAATATTTTTGACTTGTGTAGCTCATATAATTCATTAAACAAATTATATAACTCTTCTCCAGGTGATTATCCGAAGTCAAAAGTGTTGGCTGTTAATGGACATCAGATTTATTTCTAAAATCAAATTCGCCTAAGTTTCCTAAATTAATGGAGAACTCCCGATGGAAACCGATATTACACTCCACACAAACACAAATAAGTCACCCAAAATCTCTATAACCACTCCACCCGACACCGCCAATATTCATTAATGTTTTTTTTTTTTTAATTATCAATCATCCTACACACAATTCGATCTATGATTTCACATAAAGAATTTCTTTGCGAATCCTATGTGAATGGCCTAAAATCAAACGCATATTAAATGAGACTAATCATGTAATTAAATATTTAAATTAAAACAATTATATTTTCAAATAATAAATTAACTGGAAGAAGATAAATCATATAGGTAGTGTGATGATCAGAAATCCCAAAATTCTACGCACATTGAAAATGCATAGAAGATGAATATCTAAAGGCTCTCTTGCCACAAATATTTCAAACGTTCTCCGTGGTCAAACAAAAATATTTTTCCCTCGCTACTTTGTTGACACATCTGTTTTACGAAAATTGGAATTGAAGAACCCCTCCATGAAGATAGTTTTAATAAAATGTACACATTTCATCAATTAGTGCCATAGTGGTACTCATGGTTACTATAATCTGCAATCTTCCATTTATGAAATGCAATGAAAATTACCTCTCTACTGCTTGCTAAAAATGTAATGACACCCCAGCTAATTTTTAATTGTGCATACCGATATTTAACACACCCAGAATCCTGAAAAAGAACTGATGAAGAGATCTCTCCCTAAAAATCTCAATTAAAGGTTTTTTTTATTTTGATGACTTCCTTCTTCCGATCTGATCATTCCAAGATCCCCCCTCACATTTCCTTACTGTTCTCATTTTATATTAAACAAATCGAAAATATAATTTATATTTAAAAAATATTAATAATAACGATAATAATATGATTAAGTGTTGTTTGATCAACCAGAAATATTTTAATATGCAAGATCATAACAAATTATTGTATTCACTATTTACGTAGTTCTATCTAATTTATTAAAAAAGAAAATACCATTTTAGAATAACCTCATATGATTATAATAATATATATTAATATTTTGACATCTTGACAAAATATTTAATTTTCTAGTAAAGATGTGTTATACATAAAATGCATGCAATATCTATTCAGAACAAAAATACTCACTTGGTCACGTTTTTGAAACTCTAAACATGCTATTGCCCTGTGTTCGACCAACTTTTGTTCCAACTGTTTTATATATTCAACATATTTGAGCACCTGACATTCCGTAAAATTTTTTGTTTTCGTCACTTGTAGAGCTGCTTCTTTTCTTACAAGATCTAAATTCTCCTTCAATTGTAACGAATAGTGGGTCCGCTCCTTGTATAGTCGTTTGTTTTCATCCACACTAGCTTCCAAAGTCAATATCGTAGCTCTTCAAAAAGATATATTATATTTTAAAAACTATTAATATTTAATAGTAACAAAAGCAGTGCACATAAATAAAGTATTATTATGTTTCAATAATACCTAGTTAGTTTAAATAAGTACTGTTGCAACATTTCTTACCCATCATGCACAACAAACAAGTAAACTTTAATATTAACTAACTTTTTTAACTTATTGAAAAACTTTAATAAGAATGTAAGCAGGTTCAAAATTGGATTCACAAATGGGATTGAATTGTTTGACAAAAACAAGTTATGCGAACGAAATAATAAAATTATAAAAAACACAGGTCTAATATCGTCAGAATTTGAACTTCAATCGTTCGGAAAAAAAGATTAATTCTAATAAATTCACCTTAATTCTATGTTTTCTTCTTCTAAACATTTGAGTTTTTTGTCTTTATTTTCCCTGTCATCGTCCGCCAAAATTGCCTTCTATCAATTTAAGCATATAAATGTGTACGAATTAAAAATAATTAAAATAATATACATTTATTTATGTATGCATACTAATGATTTTATTTCATTCAAAAGATTGAGACGGTCATTTTCCAAATCTGTTTTAGCTATTGTCTCCTTTTCTAAATCCCGTTGTGCTGTTGCTAATAATCCAGGCAATGTCCCGAGCTCTTCGAGACATGATTTTAGATGATCCTTAAACAACAATATTGCAAAAATAAGTATTGTATTTTAATATTTTAAATATCATCTTTACAAAAACACAAAAATGCAAACTATGCCTATAATAGTAGTATATATAGCATGACGTATATTGTTATTATATTTTAATCTGTGTTAGGGAAGAACGCGTTTCTTAACGAGGGTCCATTCGTGTTCACATTCATTCTATGGGAAAGACACTTATCTCATTCTTTACATCTACATTGTTCAATTATAATCCTTTTTTTTTTTAATGTATTTGTAATATTATAACCATATTGTTATATCGAAGTTTTTATCAACGCTGTAGTATGGGTGGTACTTATTTTGTATTTATTTTGGGCATGTGACGTAGGTATATTATTATGTAGTTTCTTATATTTTTATCATTGATAAAAGTCAAGTAATACCTATGTTTTGATGAGCAAAGCGATATTTACAATTCTACAATTAAAATTTCATATTATAACCTACCTATCAGAAATTGTTTTAAATATATGTTATACCACATTTATAAGTTTTAATATGGCGTTGATTTTGATCAATTTTGAACTCCGATGCGGTTATGTCGTTACTTAAAAGTAAAGGTATTTTATTTTATATTTAATTGTAATATAGTAAATACCTAATATAATCGTATATGTTAATATTTTATAAAACTTAATTATTTCCAATATTAAAAAAAAAGAACTTTTTTAAAATTTTCTTTTATCTTAGGATTAAACGTGTTTTTTTGAGATTTATAGAATAGTAATTAAAATTAAGAATGCTTTTGAAATGATTTTGGTCGAATAACCAGTATTCACTGACAAAATATGCACTATAATTTTAATAGATAATAAGAACTATTAAATAAACAAAATAATTAAAAAGCGAAATTACCGACGTCATTGAATTTTATACTTATTTAAAATAATTTAGGTAGTTACTTAATATAAATTAGGTGTGCATTTTATAAATCATATTAAAAAATACACTAAATACCATATTATGGTTGTATAAAAAAGTTTATGATTGGTTTTTAAGAGAAATATTACTGACAGTATTGATCAATTTGTTTCCAAGTTAAACTATTAAAACTAATTATTATATAACTAGAATAATTATTACACTAAATGGAATGAATGAAGTTCAATACATTTTATAATCGTACATCAGTGTATATTAGTAAATCACACCAACATTTGGTCAAATCATTATTTTTGTCAAGGGAATTACATTCAATTTTACCTTTTTAATGTTATCAAGAATAGTTAGGTACCACTAACATAACCCAGCATTGATTTGTTATTAAAAAAAAATTTATTTTAGTCACCAAATTTCAAAATCTGCTAATCGCTATGCGTTTTGTTTGTTCGTCAAATAGTAAGTTAATATATTTATATTATGTGACGTTAAAACAGGTTTTAAATCCACAAACACTTGTATTTTTCTGTTAGAATTAGTTAGAAAGCAGGTATCCGTAGATTTCAAACCATTTTCAAAGAACCTTATAAATGTACTGATTAATATTATAGTAGCTATAAGTTTTCTTGTTTTAAAGAAAAATTATTCAAATTTAAAATAGTTTAAAAACTATGAAACACTAAGTAGAATATTAAAATAGACTTTAATTTATTTTGAATAATTTTAAAACGATGTGTAATTGTTTCTTGTTACGTATTTTAGAGCATACAACTTGTAAAAGTTATTAACTTGTTAATTACTTTTTAAAAATAAGGTTCACCCTTTTTTATACGTTACACTTTTATTATGAATATAAATCAAAAGAAATTTACGAAAAATATTAACTTAAACTAATAATAAATAATAATTTACAATCAAAGAAGAAATTTCCGTTAAAAACTTTAACTTATTTTAGTTTTCAACAAGTTTAAGTCCAAACACAAACACTATGTTTTCACACTTTTAAATCTCCAAATTCTCTTTTTTTTTTCATAATATGGAGAGTTATGAAAAGTTTGAAAACAAAGTTTAAAGATATGATTTGAACAAGAAGCATCTGAATATCATCTACTAGAACGTAAAATATCAACCAAACATTTTCTAAGAAATATACTTATATATTATTGTTTTTATTTTATTTTTTGTTGCGAGTTTAATTTGAGAGTTTTAGTCAGTTACACTTTTAAAAATACAAATATTAAAATGTAACCTATTTATTTTGGTGATAATTATTGATTATAGGTTAATATATAATGTATTTTCGATATCTTATAATTCTAGATTTTTTTAATATTTTTGATTATTATGTAGATATATTAATTATTTTTAGTGAGGACACATAGACATCAATGAAAGAAAGTTATTATTTTAAAGGTCTTAGAACCCTTATTGTTTAAATATTTTATTGATCGTCGGTACAGTAAAATATCAACCTTTTAAACATTGTAAAAGCTCGTCGTACAGTTTTTTTTATTTTATAACACTTGGATATTATTTATTTTTTACTAACTTAAATAATTTCAAATATAAATAAAATAAATTATTGGCATTTGTAAGCAAAACATTTCCTTTTTTATAATCGAAATATTATATTACAGTTTTTAATTAAAAATGCTATACATAAGTTTAGAATTATTATGATTTATTTATTTTTATTAAAACAAATAATACTAATGGGTTATATCAAATTGTAGCGTTGTCATGATAATCTTTACTAATTACAGTCACCCGTTCTTCAGAGCGTCAAATCGTCCGGATTATAAGGGAATAAAAATATTAATCATATTGCGACTACATCACATAGGTAGATACTTACTTTTATTAGTAATTTGTAATTTTATTATGATTGCATTATACTTTATGAAAAAATATAATATGTGTAGGTGAGGCTTTATTTATTTTTGAATTTAAAAAGAGATTGTAACTTTTCAAGTGGCCATCTACATTTATTTTACATATTAATGAAATTCGTTTTCTCGGAACTACCGAAGATCCCAAGTAGGAAAAAATAACAAACATCTTACAAGAGCAGGTATTGTATAAATTATCAAATATTATAATACAAATACATTGAATAAATGATTTTTTTTTTATACTAAACCCTTCATATCAATGCAAAGAGTTTTGGCTTACCAAAACATTACCGATATTATCCAAACCACACTGTAATACAATATTGTTTATGGTTCAACAGTGTTTGCAATGTTTGAATTATTTAAAATGACTACTTTATTAAGAGGACGCTACACATGCATTGTCTCCATATTACAGACGTAAAACATATCATATCTTAGCTCAGCAGGAGTGCAGGACTAATATCCCGTTGTTAGGTGTTAGCTTAAGTATTAGAGTGAATTTACCAATTATCTAACTTAACGGCGAAAACATTAAGTACCTATCTGTGTTTTTCCATATTTACATTTTTAAGCAATATTTAAACATTTTTAAAGTATCACTTACTCGTGGTGTTGATAAAAAATTTAAATACTGTAAGAAATCTAACACTCAAGTATATCTACCTACACATAATACCTTTAAGTTTGATAATAGGTCAATTCGACTTTAATATTTAAGCTAACAACGCAAAATTGGTTCTGCTGAATTCAAATTAGATATGTTTTACGTACCTATCTAAGACCATGACTAAACGTGCATGGGTAGTGTCGTTTAAGCATTTAATGTTTATATTTATTACATTGTTTTAGGTGCGGTGTGAAATATCTTTATTTTACAACGATGTGTGGTTTTTTGTGAGTGTGCGTGTGTCATCACTATTTGAAGTAAAAATGCTTCAATCTTCGACTTAAATATATTTTATGGTAAGAAAGTGAATATAGTTGGTATTTAAGGAGGGAGGTAGGATTAAAAATGAAAATACTTTTTATGCTAAATTGGTTTTAGACAAAATCGAGAACATTATTTCGTAGTCAATATATTATATACCTACCTACAATTTGACAGATTTAAGACAAGATTTCATTTAAGTTTTTATTATAAGAAGTGTAATAAAAAATCGATTATAATTCCACAAATAAGTTTAGAATCCGTCAAAAGCTCGAAATTATTTTAATACAAGATCCCACACAGTAATATGTTGTTATCGTTGCAATAAAAATATATTAAAAATAAAAATTATCAATGATTATTAATGCCAAAATACTAATATTTATAATCAATGATATTATGCATGGTATTTTTATAAGTGTTTTAAGTTCAAATATAGTTTCCCAAAATGATTTAATTCTATATTCTGAATACTTTTACAAGTATTTCGATTACTTTATGTGGAATACCTTATAATATTAAAATGAAGTTTTAACTCAAGTCAAATCAAACATCGCCTCTTATTTATATAGATTATAATAATTAATAACATTTATAACGAATAAGTGGTAAATATTTCAACCTAGCAAGTCTACTACTTTGTCTATCCATCGAAATAAAAACCTTGGAATTATTTAAAACATGATAATAATAATAATAATAATAATAATAATACAGAATGGATATCTTACATTCATTCGATTAAACTCCGCTTCGTATTCTTCAGCAATTGTATTTTTTTCCTTACAAATACTTTCAATACGAAATTTTTGTTCTTGATTTGTCTGGAGAACTGCCAAATACTAAAACCCAATAGTTTGGTAACATAAATGAAAATAACATGACATTAGTTCAGAGTACAACGTTAATTTTATAGTTTTGACATTGCAACCAAAAATGACCTTTGCTTTTTTATCCTCGAGTTCGGTCAGATGAAAATCGAGTACCATCTGCATGTTATTTTTTTCCTCGGTTGCCTCTAGCAAACGACTTCTCAAGCTCTCAATCAAATATTTTTCATTTGAACTAGCCACTTCAGGATCCTGTATAAATATTGGGTTATTCATATTATACCTACCCTCAATAATATTGTAAATCAATTACGTGGGATTTGGCTGAATTGAATTCAAACAATTGTTTTTGTAACTGGCACACTTGTGTTTTTAATATCGTTAAACGGCCCTCACAAGTCTTATGCTTACACTCAGCTTCGGCTAACATATTTCGTAGATCTGCAATTTCTACTAACTTATTGCTGAAAATCAATGTAGGTTGATATTTCGTGAGTAAGTAATAAATTATGCAAGTTGACACATACTACATAAATTAATATGTTTTAACTGTTAATAATATAACATACAATTTACTTTATACATAATATTGTGTATGTACTATGCAGTGTGTAATTTGGTCTGTATGTGTAATTATTGATTTATGAGATTTTTTTTAATATTATTTAGTATCATTCGATTATAATTGAATCGCAATTGTGATTTTCGATTATGAGTGGAGCGATGAACGTATTGGTTTTACAATGAAATGTTTTTGTATGTGTATGTGACGACGCGTTTTGGAGCAAAACATTTGCTTTACTCAACATTGAGAATGGTTCCTGGAAAGAAATTTGATATAGTCGCTACAATAGGCTTTAGGTAGTCGAAAGTATTCGATTTTAAGTACTATTCTGAATAGTTTGGAAAAACTAACAACAAAAAAGTCGGAAACCAGAATATATTTTCAACAAAATCAATTTTGTTTTATTGATATATTTAAAAAAGGAATAACAGTAAAATTCGAAATTTTCATTTAATATGTGTATTCAAATTTTCTAAACATGATATAATTTTTGAAATATATTATGTGTAAATTATTATATTATACTAGCTGATCCCGTGCACTTCGTTGCCCGTTAAACGTACCAACTCTATATGACTCAAACTTTGTTCAATTCGTTATTTAATATTCGGTGTATGGTGTTCAAAATTGATCCTAACTTTTCCGTTACCTAGAATAAAAATTCTGATTCGCAGCACTATATTATCAGGTAGGCAATCTACCTGTGGTAGATCGCGGACCCCGTGATGTTTGTACGTAAGTGTATGATTTAACTATAAAGTATCAAAGTTATACCAAGTTTAAAAGTACTAAGATCCGATGAATTATTTGTAACTCGAAAAAAAGTTGAAAATGTAATACAATAGGTATGCAATGTGCATATTATGATATTTGACATAGCAATTAAAAAATATTGAAAAGACATAGTAGGTATTGATACTTTTTATAAGGATTTGAAGTTAAAATATCAAAGAAATTGGTTCTACCAGAAGAAAAAAAATTTCCCCAAAAAATTAATACTGTCCTAGTCCGTTCGCAAAGTATACACTTTCGTATAAAATTGGTTAGGAGTAGACACTTTTTAAAAGGAATAATATTATGACAAAAGTTCAAATGTAACACTTTTTAGAAAAAAGGAAACAACATTTGTAGGTACGTTCTATGTTCACGGCTGAATAATTATGTGACAATAGAATAAGACGATTATATCTTTTTCAATAAGCCCGCCTTTATAAAAAATTTAAAAAATGATTAAAAACCCATTGTTTCTTAGATTATAAGAATCAGTGATAATACACATTTTCAGGGCAATGGTACGAGCAGCAATGTCGTTTAAGGACATTTATATTTTTGGGAAGCACATTTTATCAGCCTCATACCCTGCGACCAAACGCTGCACACATGATTACTCTATATTATGTGCCATGTGTGTACTTGTGTGTGTAACTAGTTTTTATTTAAACGGTATGTACAATTATTAGTATTGGTTAGGTATTATTATCATAATGCCATATTATAATATTTGGTTAACTCACTTATAGTCCGCCAATAATTTATTATACTCCGCCGTTCTGGGTTCAAGTTCATTGCATAGAGCTTTCGTCTCTGCACAATTCTATACACAGTCATAGGAAACCTTATATTAATAAGTCGGCTACGCTATTATTCATTGTTTGTGTTAAAAAACTTACAGGACACAGGTTCTCGGATATGTTTAATACTTTTTTAGCTAATTCAATCTGGCATTTATCACGTTGTAGTCTCTTTAATTCGTCATTTAATCGATTGATTTCAAGCATTAAAACTTGCGGTTTTGATTTCTTTAAAATCGAATTTTAAAATTTAAGAAAAAAAAACTTTTAAAAGTATAAACAGTTTGGTATTATTATTTGTTTAAATTAATTAATACCGATTCACCGTGATCAGGAAAGCATGTACCATTATCATTTGTTCCTTTAGGTTGCTTGGAAGCTAGCTGAAAAAATAACCAGAGTTATTATGTTTGATGATTTTAAAAAAATGTCACCTTATTTTACCTTCTTTTGAAGAGAATTTGTTAAGGCAAGTGTTTGTTGATTCTAAAAGAAAAAAAAATGTATTAATACTTAATTATAATCAAATTAATAGAGGGTTGTCATTACAGCACAGTTAAGTTTGCACAGAAAATCACGGTTCTGTTGATTTAATATCTTTATTCCTCCCTTCATTGACATAAGTTCATTTTTAAATCCTTCATTTATACAATCAGTATCAGTATCTGTATTTTTGGAATATGTATGGCAATTATCAGCTATGGTACAATAATTATCTTCAAAATCGCTCAAACAACAATTTTCAGATCCATCATTACACGAACAAATTGACTCATTGTCGTGCTAAAGTAATATTTAATTGGAGAAGTTTATCTTTTTTTTTAAAAAAAACCTTATACTTTTATATTTAAATATAACATTAAAAAATCAGCTAATTTTCATCACTAACTTCATTGAATTTAATTCCATTATTATTTAGATCATAACGAAAAAACGTTGGGTACTCTTGCTCGTTGTTAATCAATATCCACGGGGCAATTAGTTCTTTGTCCTTAAATCAATAATGCAAACTTATTTATTAAAATCATATTTTTGTGTACATTTTAAATTAATTTAATTATTTTGGTTGTAAATTGTAATAATATCTATCAGTTTTAATATTATTTTCAGTTATAGAATACTATAATCCAATTTATTTTGAAATATTCAGTTAACTGAACTATTAAATAATAAATTTGATTAACAAATGCTGAAAATGTATAGTTTTATATTTCTCAATTATAACAATTGTTTTTTTTTTGTATAATATGCATATTATATAAATATTTAATTAGGTAAATTAATAAATTAATATTTGTCCATAGTCACTATTTATTGCTATATCAAAAAGTTTATTTATAAGAATTATGTTCGATTATATGTTTTATTACATTTGAGCACCACTTTTTAACAAAACATTGCCTGGTCAAGTATTCGTTTAAACCATAATTTAAACCATACTTTAAACAGTGAGATAAAATTGTGTACACATAATGATCTTTCTACTCAACCTTAATCGTGTGCTCACTAGTGATAACCTCTTAATATTACTGACATTTTGGTAGTAGTTTGAATTTAGGAAGTACATAGAAATATATAAAGTACTTACAAACAATTATTAAGAGAATTCTAACCTTTATATAGTACCTAAGGGGAATATTAATAGCACTACTGTAGGTATTGAAAATGATAACTGATTTAGTCAAGTGTACCAAAGTGTCTAAATACAAATAATGGTGTACTTATTTGAAATATTGTATGTTTGAATATATCAGTCTAAAATTAGTTCATTATTGTATCCATATATAAATAATTAAGTACGTTTTGTACTGCAGGTAATCGCCACGTAATTATTGTTAAGAAGTATAATTTTTGTTATTATTATATTGTGATCAGTGATCACTATTTTTAGAATAACATATTAGGTACCTAAATATATTTTGAAACATTTAAATTTCGTAAGAGAACGACATACGCCCGCTTCTGAATGAGTTGTATATTATTTTATTCTTCAAGATGATAATGGGCCCCACTAAACCTTAATGAAGACAATTTTAAAAATATAAATACTAATTCAAAGTATCTTACAAATAATCGCATCTTACGAACATAATCAGTGGCGGCGCGAAATCGTGGAGGCTTTGAAGCATATTGTATATTTTAAAAATTTTACCACCTCACCCCATTAAATCAAATTAGCAATAAAGGCCAATAATAATTATTAATTATAATATTATTTGCCGTGATATTTGTGTTGAGGTCTTACGAGTATATATATATTTATACACCCACCCACCCATTTCAGACTTGAAGCAATTGCTTCAAATAATCCTATATCCCGCCGCCACTGAACATAATATTTAAATAGCGATTTCAAAATGATAATATACGAAAAATGTGTAGTATAGTAAATAATTGTTTTTATTTTATCAATATCAATATTATGCAAGAAAAAAAAATTCAAAAAAATAAAAATGATATTGTTCAGTCGAAGTGATTCTATTTTTATGAAGAAAATTTACTTTTTATAAACTTTACGTTTTTAACAAACAATATAATGATAATATAAACCACGAGCGTATGTTACCTATCCTGCTGTTAGTAAAAAATATTTATAAAAAAAAAAAAATGTTTTAATTTGAAATCTGAAATATTAGATATTAAAACTTATAAATTAACTATATTATATAATATGTATTTAAATTGTTATAGGAAGAACGGCGCGTTGTGGTTTAATTAGTAAATTTTGTTAACTTAATAATTTAAATTAACATGATAATAATGAAACTGGGTACCGCCATCGAGATTGACATAATAAACTTTTATTATAGTCAATCACCGATTAAAATTTTAAATAGAGAGTGTAAAAATATTATCAAACTTTTTAAATATTTATATTGTATTTTACTAAAGTACTTCTCGTATGCATGATGAGGGGAGATTTAAAAAGCAATATATATTATTATGTCCCTAGTTTGTAAGTAGAGTTCAAGGGTCATTATTTTACAATTAATATCTAACAGGATTACGATATTTCCTTCAGTATAACTAATAAATTTCAATAATATTGAAAAGTATATCTTACAGATGCTTTGACTACTGAAGCCATACAATTTTTTGGATTTATATGTTGAGATATGTCAATTTTTTGGCATTCGAGGTTTTCAAGATCGAAGTTATTTTTATTAGCCAATTCGAGTACCTCAGCAACAGTTTTTTTATAATGGGCCACCATTTCTCTTAACTGTTCTTGTACCTTACATACATCCATTTCTGTGGCTCCACAGCAGTCCTATATACAATATAATGTATAAACATTAACCGTTTAAACACTTTTATGAGTTATCGACAAAAAATATACACACATTTTTCATATCAGCCAAGTCCTGCTTCAATTGAATTATTATTTTTGCAATATTTACGGCTTTTTTGTCAGCATCTTGAATTGATTCTAAGCAACCACCATTATTATCATCAATTTCAAAATTTGTAGACACAATTTCCAGTTCATCTTTGCTATCCTATAAAATGATATCAAGCTTCATAAAAAATTCTATAATATAGGATTTAAAAATGGCATATTTTATACCGTCATCTTCTTTATAATTTTGTGGTATTTATATCTTATTCTGTACTTCAATTTATAAAAAAAATAATAAAAAAGTATTTATGCTTTACACAAATAAACAATTTATTAAAACATTATTTTAACCGTTCCATAAATCAGCCAACTACTTATTACAATTTTGAATCAATAATAATACAAATGTTTTATAGAATAACTATAATATTGCATAGTAACAGTGTGGTCTCGAAGTATGTGATTAATAATACACATATTATGGCACTCGTTGTCAAATCCATAGGCATCATTTTGCATAGAACAATATTAAATTTAATACATTCATCGATAACCTGTCTGCTAGGTCCTTATAAAAAAATCAACTTTTAACTTTACACGGTTCATATAAATCTTTAATACCTTTCAAGTCTCGATATACATATATTATTGTATTAGCGGTAATGCATTTTCATATATTCTATTATCTATTCAGATACACTAGTTTTCTCTATAGCTGAGTATATAATATTACCTATATGAGAGTTTTCCATTTATAAAAAATGTATGTTTATGTGATACTGACCTTTCGGGTGATTATAAAAATTAATAATTAATAATAATATAGGTACTACAATGTTTTAGAAGTTGATACAAGTGTACAAATGATTATGGCACATTGACTATTGAAGCGTAAGGGATTTCATAAATATTAAAAATTAATTTCAAATTCTTAGAGTTTTTTTCCAATTACAGTATTTTATTTCAATCAGATATTCCAGGTACCATAGTTTGATATTTTACCTGTTTAATATTATTAAATGAATATGGAATTGGTTATTTTTGAAATAATCATTGCTTTAAGTAGGTAGGTAGGTACCTAACTAATTTTGGAGAAATATAATTAATATAATTAGAGCTTTGTTTTTTTATTATATTTATCGTTAACAACTGTGTTATTCACTTTTAACGAGTCTTCAATTACGTTTGACTACCCAGGAGTTAAATGAGAGACTTAAGCATAATAATCAGCATAGGGTACCTATATGAATTATAATCTGTATTAATTTTGTTGTCGGATTGTATGACTCCGTTCGGTTACGCATAAATCATTTAGACACAAACGGGCTTTTCAAATACTGTGGCACTGAATGCATTTACGCGCATCAATGACTTCTGGTTGATAGTTTTAGCTGAGATGCATTATGTATCAAGATATTTAGTTTTCTGTAGGCATTTAACACAGTCTGTTTTCATGAGAAGGGTAGACGCATTGCTGGTTTGCCCCATTTAAAATAAATTATAATTTCCCGAGAAAATTATGTGCTACTCAATAATATTGTCGAATAAGATATTATTATGTCACACATTATAAAACTGTTATTTTATTTTGCGGTTTGTAAACAAAAAGTAAGAAACATTTAGGAAATTCATCAGATATCATTAACCAATAATAATCATTAATTATTTTATAATTGAAATATTTTGAAAACTTTATATTGGAATTAATATAAAATTAAATTATTCAAGTGAATCTGATTAAAAAAAGTTATAACAAAGGAACGTGGCAAGAAAATTCAGAAATTAAAATAGCAATCAAACTTATAAATTAAAAAATAGTATAGAGTACCTATTTGTATTGGTATTGACTTGTGAGTTGTATATAAAATGTAAGTAAGCTGTAATTTAGTATGGTGACTAGTATTGTTATGATTTCAATTGATCAACAATAATAATTGTATTTTAATTTAATTTGCTTAGTTCTAAATCTCAAGAACAATCAATGCCATCTCTAACAGACAGATAATTATGCATAATATTTGCATCAATGAATTTTGGTAAATTTCTTGTTTGGTTTGCAATCACTTGTGGATCGTGGGTAATTTAAATGCCTTAGAACTAATTGTATAAATTATGGACACTCTATAACGCAATATAATAATGACGGTATACCTATACAGTACCTATATATACCTAATTATTATACATTCGTAATTATTATACATGTAGGTTCTCCCGAGAGATTATCTTTCTCAGCATTAAATAGAATAAAGAACCATCTTGGAAGTGGTATCAAAGAAGTAAGAACATTTTTTATTTATACTTATTTTATTAATAAAGATTTATACATTTTAGATTCTGGTCGGGGTAATTATAATATCAAAAAACAAAATTTTTATTTTGTGTGTTTACCATACCCTTTCGGAGCAGTAAAAATGGTTCAATCTTGTACTCTGAGAGTGATTTTTGGTAAAAAAATTGTATCTTGTTGATTATTTAGGTAAAGGAAGGGGAGGGGGTCAAAAGTAAAAGTCCTCGGTATTTTTTATAACATAGTGAAAAAAAAACCGGTAATTTTTACGCAAACCCAGTTTTTGACAAATTTGTATTTGTTCGTTGTAAACATTTTAAAAAAAATATAGAGGGATGGATTTTTCAACAAATGTTTGCAGATGTAATACGATATGTATCGTAAGTTATTCTTACCTCAATTAAGGAAATCTACATAGTCACATTTTTTTTTTATTAGCGTTGAATTTTGAATTTCATAATTTATATAATTTATCAAAATCAATAAAATATTATGTAAATTATTTTGTAAAACAAAATTCATGAAATTTATAATTTTAACGTCTTATGATTGAATATATTATTATAATACAGTATGCACCATAGTTACTTTTTACTGAAAATTAAAAAAAAAGGTTCAACATAAAGCCACTTAAGCATATTATAATCATTATCATAATTCAGCGATTTAAGTTCAATTGTTAATAGCATTGGATATTTGGATACCTAACGTATAATAATGACTTACCCTTGAAATATTTTTGTTATTTTGATAAAAATTTTGATTTGCTATTTATTTAAAGAATATTATTCGTAGTAGCTCAAAATATTTTACTATAGTTTTTTATACTCAATCAAATTATCAAAATAATTAGTCTTATTTTAAGCTAGATACTTATAGAAGTTTGAAGTATTTGTTTTTTTTAATTCTTGATCTATAAATGATGTATATTGTGTGATATAAAAGTGTTAAAAATTTTATAGCTGTTCACTTAGTTTTTATTTGTATTAAAATGTTTACGTCATATAGAACAAAAAATTATTTTATTTTGTTTTGCGAAATATTTATGTTTCAGCCAAATAATTTATGATGGTTTAATCAATTTAATTGAAACTATCAAAATAAAAAATTAATTTTGATACAATATTTGCCTAAAACCAAAATAATAAAATAGCTCAATTGTTCAAGAACTTTGTAAGACAAAGTTTTTGAAAGAGTTTACGGTTAATGGAATTTAGATACCTATCCCTTTTCCATCTTCTACATACATACAAACACATATTTATAAACCAGTCTAGACTATAAATATCTTATTTTAGACGGTTCATTTTTTCCATTTTTTGACTATATACATTATTAGTGTAGGATTGTCCTTATTTTCTGAATTTGAATTCTTTTCGCGATACTCGTTTATCATGTGTATAATATAATATAAAAACAAATATTCTAAAAGCTTGAAATACATTATAAATATGAACAATATTAAATGTATGCATCGCCGTTTTAAAATGTAAATTGGAAAGTTGAAGAAAGAATTAACCAGAAGATAATAATCAATATTTCTATTTTCGAATAAAGTATATAATATAATATAATATAACGAAAACAAAACTTCCAATTTCAATAGATACATGATCTGGGTGCTCTATATTAATTCGAATCCACCTTAGCCTAAAGCAAGGCCATAACGATTGACAGTTGGTTCGGAAAGGTAATCCTGCTGAGTGTTGACTAAGCATCTGGAGCGTATCCGAAAAGCGACAGACGGTCACGTAAGCCATCGTATTCCAATGTTTAACAAACACAAAAGGTAAAATATACAAAATGCAATATTCATGCTTATTATTTATATATCCTTATGCACATAAAACATACCTGTGCAATTTATTTTATTATACCAACAACAAACAATAATATTTCGCAACACAAGATCCGCTGTCCTATATCGATTTAGGCGTAGGTATATTGCGGATTGACCGATATTATAGGTCCGTAAAAACGTATATGGCAATATTCTTCTCCGTTTATCGCTATAATATTATAATATTATTTAAAATTTTTCCTAGTATTCGACATTCATAATATACCTACCAGAGTACATGGTATTATTTGACATGTACCTATGGCCCACACTTATGTGTTGCACCTACGCCTTTTTTTTTCATGTAGAAATATATCATAGACCATAGTACCTATATATTTAAATAAATCATAAATGGTATAAGTATAATGATTAACTACTGCATTAAATTTAAGTTTGAAATTGAAATAACACAGTCTGTTGGTATTTCTATATATTATTACCTACAAATTGTATGGTTGTACGAATTCTTGTGTTTTCGGTTTTATGTGGTTTATTTCTGCACAAACACGAAAACTAAATTCCATTCTGAGGAGCCACCACTCTATTTATCCAAACGGTTTATCAGGTTTAGAGTAAAGAGTTAAGGCTAGCTCGCATTGCTTCTAAGTTGGGAAATTGCAGGGATTCGCTTTATGGCAGAACTATGTTGATAAATACGTGTAATGTTTATATTACTTCTGTGTTTTGATTCTATCCACTGAGCGCTAATATTTATGGTCGTATAATTTCATAGATAGACAACTTAACATAACTTAATATAACTTCAAGTAGGATTTGTACTGAATAATAATAGTTGTAATATGATTGCTTTTATACACATATATAATACATAGAAAATACTTTTAAAGACAATTATAATTTATAGTTTATTGAACTACCTAATATTTTTTGTGTTTAATTCCATAATATAGTATATATGATACTTGCAGTCTTGTAAAGTATTTGAGTAAAAATATTTGAATACTTTAGAAAAAAGTACTTGGGCAAAGTATTTTAAATTAATTCTCAAAGTATCTGTATTTAAAATCAAATATTCATTCCTTTTAATTCAATTTATTTTTTATTTAAATTTTAATCACATAACATAAAACTAAAAAAATT